TAAAATTTTCACCGTTAAGACATGGTACGAGGATATACTTAGTGAGAAGTTTTGCAATAGTTGCCACAAGAATACACTGTGATATTTTGTAACACTGAGAACACATTCTGTTTTTCAGCGTTCTCTGTCAGTGATGTTGGTGTTGGTGGTGATGGCTGGTGTTTGCTACGCTGGACTACTTGGGGTGGTTTTCTGCCACTTGGTTTGGGTTCTTGGTGGACTTGGTGGATACGGCGGGGCTTTGAAAGGTTAGGTGGCTATGGCGGCCTTGGTGGAGGATTTGGTGGCGGATATGGTAAGCATAAAGTCTCGGGTCAATGTATTCAGATTTATGATATATATTACTATAGTGTTTCTGAAGCATGAATGAACAAGATAGTAATTTTCTCATCATTCTACCCTAGGTGGTCAGGGAGGACACACTTTCGTGCTGAGCAAGAGTTATGGTAAGCCAATACAAGTTCCTTTTGATTCATGTACAACGACTGCAACAATATCGTGTCCATTTATTTATATACGAGACATGTTACCATTAGATGTTATGGATAATTTATATGCTTACAGGAAGCGCTGGGGGATTTGGCCACGGAGGAAAACTTGGATTTGGCAAGGGAGGTGGATACGGTGGATTTGGAAATGGTTTCGGCGGATTTGGCAAAGGTGGTCTAGGTGGACTTGGCTTCGGTGGGTAGAGTGGATTTACCCATCTTGCTTTGTGTCTTTACATATCTTCTAAAATGTTTTATAAGTAACATGAACAGGAGCATAAGGGTTTTATAAGTAACATGAACATAAATGTTTTATAAGTTCATGAAGAACATAAAAATGTATTATAAGTAACATGAAGTGCATAAATGTTTTATAAGTAACATGAAGTACACAAAGGTTTTACAAGTAACATGAACAAGAACGTAGATTATAATGTGACTACACGTATTTCACTCTTTCAGGTGGTTTCGGGAAGTAGGACGTCACCTCGTCAGTACCAGGTCCAGGACCATCTTCCTCACCAGGACCAGGTCCAGGACCATCTTCCTCACCAGGACCAGGTCCAGGACCATCTTCCTCACCAGGACCAGTCCAGGACCATCTTCCTCACCAGGACCAGGTCCAGGACCATCTTCCTCACCAGGACCAGGTCCAGGACCATCTTCCTCACCAGGACCAGGTCCAGGACCATCTTCCTCACCAGGACCAGGTCCAGGACCATCTTCCTCACCAGGACCAGGTCCAGGACCATCTTCCTCACCAGGACCAGGTCCAGGACCATCTTCCTCACCAGGACCAGGTCCAGGACCATCTTCCTCACCAGGACCAGGTCCAGGACCATCTTCCTCACCAGGACCAGGTCCAGGACCATCTTCCTCACCAGGACCAGGTCCAGGACCATCTTCCTCACTCCTCACTTTTATTGGAATAAAATATTTAAAAATGTACTTTTTCTATTTTATTGTCACATTTTTTACTTCATGACAGTTGTGGATGATCAGTGCAAATAAGGAATAAAGGTAAAAAGTAATAAAAAAATGTAAAAAAAAATGACAATATCTCACACTCTGAATTTGCAAAACAAATTGCTTTATTAACATTTTTAGATGAAATATGATCTTTTATAATAAAAATGGGCATTTAGAAGATATTAATAAGAAGAAACAATGCAGATTTTCAGTTAATAAATTGAATATCATTTTCAACGACTGGAGTGATATTATTTTTTTCCAACAAGAATCACTCGATGGAGGCGCCTAGAAGCCGTTGAGGGGCTCTTGCTCCAAGGAACTGGAGTTATCCCTCTATTTCATGCATTGAACCTCAGTGCTTCCCATTCCCCAGATGACCCGTACTGGTTTAGAGTTGCTCCTTGATTAAAGTCAGTTAAGAATATTTTCGAGAAATCGAGAGCTAAATGTATTAGAAATTGGGTAAAATTTGAACCTGGGTACCAATGGGTATATTGTACGGTTTAATTAATACCCTGCAAAAAATATTATTCGTTTCCCCTTATAACAAATCTGATTACCTCATATTTTCCGTACGGGTTTTGCGCTTATCCACGAATTTATTAACATTAAGAATAATGATTAATTTTTCGATCCCTTTGGGTATGATTCCTTCACTTGATAAAGATATATACAATATAAATGATTTATTGACAAGTAACACAACAATTTATATCTGAGGAACAGTTTTTGACTTCAAGAATACTCGTAACGACAATGTTCACTCTTTATTTATAAAACTTTAATATTATTTGTAATAATAATAATAATAATAATAATAATAATATAATAATAATAATAATAATAATAATAATAATAAATAATAATAATAATATAATAATAATTATAATAATAATAATAAATAATAATAATAATAATAATAAATAATAATAAATAATAAAAATAATAATTATAATAATAATAATAATTATAATAAATAATAATAATAATAATAATAAAAATAATAATAATAATAATAATAATAAATTCACAATAACTATAGTAATATTATTTAATCAAGTAATGTTTTATACAATAATTAATTTAAGGTTGACGTGTAGAGTTAATAATTACTTGAGTGAAAGAAGTGACTTTATGTTCTATTTCTTGTACATTTGTACAGTGTTACCAGAGGCTACCATATCGCTCTTGGAAACCCGATCCAAAAATGATCGAGATTATCAAGTTAAGTAAGTAAGTTTATTCAGGTATACACAAATACAGTTACATATAATTATCGTACATAGCAGCATAATGTGTAGAGAACCTGGGATAACCCAAAAAAAGTCAGACAGAGTGATTTATTCCATTGGAGTCCTTTAAACTTTTAACTTTCACATTAATTTTGACTGCTTTCATGGACAATAAATACAGAAATATTTTACTTAGTAAAGTGTGGTAAAGGAAGTAGAATGTTAGCCTTCGGCATCTTGGACGCTCATCTCCAGCTCTAGGGAAGTTTAACATCATATTTTTTAATAATGTGCGTTATAGAAAAAAAAAAAAAACTTTTAGAATAAAATTATTAACGCCTCCCCGAAGAATATAACAATACCAGCCAGGATAATTTCCACTTGCATTCAAGCTGTCCAGGTGGGAAGCATTTCTTTTGTAGTGTAGAAAGACTATTGCGATGAGTACATTTCCTCTCCAGGGGTCAAAAAATATAGAAAGTTTCATTAGGCTATTTTTTAACACTTTAGAGTAGGCAATAACTAGGGAGACCCTGAATTTGGTACATTAAACAAGTTGCCCTGGAGTGGGCCCTGGGCATATATAGGTGTGCGCTGCCACCATACGAATAGTTTTAGAGGCTATGTTTGCCTTGTGCACAACACTGGGAAGAGAGATGTCACCCCTACATATTCAATGATCTTCGTTGGCCTGAGCTTAAAATTGTGGATTTTCCTTTACACAATCTTTCCTACGAGCACTAACTCTTTTTTATCATACAGCGTTTGAGTAATGTCATTTAAATCAGATATGAATCCAATTGTAGGTATGTTGTATCCAGACACAATGACAATTGATATCCAAACATTTACGTACTGCTCAAACGTACTGAATAATATAAATATATATTATATTAATATATATATATATAAATATAATATAAATAGATAAATATATAAAAATTATATTATATATATATATACATAAATAAATATATATGATGAATAAAATATATATATAGATACTAATATTAGATAATAAAAAATCCCTCCTCAGGAAAATATACAACGATGAGAGAAAGTACACCACTCATGTCTAATATCCTGTCCATTGCCCTTCCAGCCTGCTATGAATAACTAATTCTAGCTGGAGATCTTAAAAGCTGTTTTATGGTGATGTTAAATAATTTGTAACTAATTTATTATACGATTAGCATAGATGTTTCTTTACGGAATCGCTAAATTCATTATGGTGTTGTTTTCCGAGAAGCATGTCTACAACTGAAAAAATTTTAACATACCAAAAATTATGGTACTCAAACCCTACACTGTTGTACAATATAAACATAATAATTTTCACTTAGTGTTACACAATTTGAATATTTTTTATTCTTTTTTGGCGAATACTAGGGAGTTTGAGGAGGCCTTGACCAAGAAGCCGCGTTGGAGGCCGTGGCTGGTGGAGGAGGAGGTGGTGGGCCCCAAGGAGGACTTAGTGGAGGTGGATGTTGAGGAAATACCGTGGACGACCCAACAAAATTGGGTCCAACATACCTTATTTCAAGAAGATAATCCACGTAACCACAACCTTACCACCAGGACCCGTTGCTACACCGTAGAACGCCAACACCAGAAGGACGACTCTGTCCCTTTACGACAACCATGCGAATGAACCGAACCCATCAGAAACCCATCATCAACAACGCTGAGTATCCTTTCTGCCCACCACTAAGATGGATCTCCCCTGAAACACCACCACCACTTTTTTAACCCGACTTTCATCAGTGTGGTAAATATTTACTGACGCGCCGGTGAAAGATACTGAATCAGCAACGTCGAACTGCCCTACCACCCAACGCAAACAAAAGCTATGTTCTGTTGGGGAAAGGTGAAGTAAAGTTCCTAGCTGTTAGCTTTGGGTACTCCGCTGTGGGGTGCTGTATGGCTAGTTTTTATCGCTAAGCCCAGTGTGGGGAGAACTGGGCAAGACGGCAAGAGACCGTGGCACTGTCCCCCCCCAAGTCAGGTGTCAGACTGGAAGCTCAGTCCTGGACTATACCATCCTGTTTGCACGGAACATTGTGACGCCCCCGCCGGAATTTCGCTGATTTTTCCCCTACGCTGCACTTGTTCCAACATAATGCAAGTACCATCCACCCACTGCCGCCGCCCCCTCCTACTACCAGCCTCAGAACCCTGGCCCCCGACCTCAGAGGCTCTCCTTCACGTAGAGTCCACTCCCCAATGAGCCTCACAGCATCATCCCGAATTCACTACCTCCATCATTACGCTCCCTCCGTCCGGTTTTCCCGGGGGGGGGGGGGGGGGGGGGGGGGGGGGGGTTGGAACTTCTTTCATAAATTTGTTTTTCTTTTTGGTGCTGTAAATACCCCAAACATATATTTGCTGAGAAATAAACGAATTTTTTTTACCTAAAAACGCTTAATTCATAAGAACATTAAGAACAAAAGAAGGAGGAACCCTGGCAGCAGGCCCTGTTGGGCCCATACTAGGCAGGTCCTTTTTACAATCCATCCCACTAACAAAAAAATTTGCCCCAACCCAATTTCAATGCTCCCCATAAAATTTAAGGTCTGTTGTGAAAGTATGGCTAATGTGATTCCTATATTTCAAAATCAGGGGATAGTCCACTCCTTCCAAATTACCCGGTCCCAAGTAAGGCCCTGACATCTATAGTGGGCCAAATTATTAGAATCTAATTAAATAGCTGACGTGTTTATCAGAAGTCAACCTGAAGAGCATAACTTGATAAATGAATCTCAGCATGGATTCACGAGAGGTTCGTTGTCCTGCCGTGACAAACTTACTGACGTTTTTCTTCCAATAGAAATGCATTTGGAGGGGGCAGTTTTGACAGTTAGATAAGGAAATATGAATATTGGATTTATTTTGGATTTTAGTAAAGCCTTCTGACAGGAGTACCTCACAAGAGACTCTTAAGAAAAGTGGCAAGCCTCATTGAATACGGAGGTAAAGTTTTTCTAGGCATGGATTAGGAAGGCGCAATGGCTTTACCAATAGAAAGCAGAGAACATTAAAAAAAAATGGTATAAAATACCGACAGGGTTGTTTAGGGTAAGACACATATGTTCAACAGTATAAGGTAAAATCTTTATTTCCCGAAACGTTTTTTATTTCGCCTACACAGTATTGCTTTCCCTTCCAGTCGAGTATCAGAAAAGTTGATAGAAGCAGAAGAAATGCTGAAGACGATGTAATCAGTCCCATCACCCTTAAAGTTTTTGAGGTGGTCAGTCCGCCTCATCTGGAGTAAGAGTAATTTGTCCATAGAAAGAAACAATATTGGTTTCATTCTATGGAACAATAGCTCTTCTCCTAAAGACTGAGGACTGACCACCTCAAAACTTTAAGGGTGATGGACTGAAACATCGTCTTCAAGTATCTTCTGCCTTCTATCACCAACTTTTCTGTAACTCGACTGAAGAACCTACTGTGTTAGGCGAAACGTTTCGAAATGAAAGATAACCTAACTGTTTGCATATGTTGACCCCTTACCTAAAAGCAGAAAGCAGGAAGAGTTACCATTAATGGAAGTAAATCTGAATGGGATTTAGTCCCCCCACTAGGGGCGTTCCACAAGGGATCAGTTTTAGGCCCTCGTCCTGTTTTTCATCAATTTTACATAATGACCTGCGATGAAGGGATTACTAGTGACAATGAGTAAGTTTGGCTGAAGAATACCAAAAGATAGGCCGTATTAATTCCACTCTGAGGAGAATATCAATGAACCCAGGACGATTAGAAAAAGGCAAATTAATGACCTTTGGTCAGAAAACATGGCTGAATGAAGTTTAATGTGGAAATAAGTGTTAAGGTTACTTTGCCCTTGGTAATGAAAATAACCCTCGAGAAGCTATAATCCTAGTGAAGTAGAGCTTGGTCCATAGCAGAATGTGAAAAAGACTTGGGAGTCATGGTGAAAGAAGCAGAAAATCTAAAGCCAAGACAGGCAGGAGGACCCCTTAGGTGTGCGCAACAAGGCCAACAGATTACTTGGACCAGTATTACTTGGAGTTTTAAATCTCAGAAGTAATTAAGTTAACAGAAGTCCAAAAGTTATTTTACAGCTCTATAACATCACTAGTGAGGCCTCATTTTAGATGTTGAATGCTGCCAGTTTTTGGTCCCCTTACTAACAGGAATAGACATAGACACATTAGAAGAACGAATACAGAGAAGAATGACAAAATGATTTAACTGTGGTAAGAGAACCGTCCCGTATTAAGTATAGACTTAAAGACTTAAATCTCCACTCCTCCTTGGGAGAGGAGTAGAATGAGGGGAGATATCATTGAAGTGTATAAGTGGAGAGACGGGCAATAAACAAGGGAGACATTAATAAAAGTACTGAGGGTGTCCGAAAACCTGGTATAGAACGCCCAAGGAAAAAAATGGATTTAAGTTTGGAATAAGCGTTAGAATTTTAGAAAAGGACATAGGTTAAGTACTGGTTTGTAAAGTAAAAAGGACACAAGTGGCAACTAATGTGACAATTTTAATGTGGCAAACGTATCGCTCTCCATAAAGCTCCTGGAGAGCGAAACGTTTGCCACAATAAATGTCACATTAGTTTTTTTTTTTGCCACTTTGTGTCCTTTTACTTTTACATATGTGTCGGTAATTCTACCAACATATATTACAAGTACTGGGTTTTTTCCTAACAGAGTAAGTAAGATTGCGTGAATCAGTCCTTCCCCATGGGGTAGATAGAGGCTAGGACCTTGGGTTTAGCTTTAAGAAGAGCTGGACAAATATATTAGTGGGAGGGGCGCCTGGGTTTGATTGGTGTTCATGGGGTACGGAGTTATTTTCTTGGGTAGATCTTTAAGGTAGAATGTTTGTTTTGATAAGGAGCCTGCCTCGTATGGGGCCCAGTAGGTCCCTTCTAGCAGTGTGTAGGTAAAGACACACATGCAACCAGTTAGGTTAATCTTTTATTATGAAACCGTTTTTCGCCCTACACAGTAGGCCATTTCTTCAGTCCGAGTAAACAGATAACGTTGAATATAAACAGAAGATAACTTGAAGACGAATGTTTAATCATCCATCACCCAAAAGTTTTTGAGGTGGTCAGTCCCCCGCCTCTCAGTCCTGGAGAAAGAGCCTATTTGTTTTCCAAAGTATTGAAACATAACAGTTTGTGTCCTACATTCTTTATGTTCTTATGTTCTTATTACATCTATCCACTCAATTTGCAAATCCCACTCCAAAATCCCTAACCCCTCCCACTCATAAATTTTTTCTCCAACCAAAATTAGGAAGCTTTCCTAAAGTCCCTTAGGCCTCAATAAACCGCAACTAGGTAGACTGATTTTTCCACTCATCCACCAACCCTATTTTTTCCTAAAAATCGCAGTTCTACATGAGAAAGAAAAGACCTCTTTAGCAAAAAGTTTTTTGGCTCGGCACAAGTCATTTCCTTTACAATATTAATTCTGCGAGTTTCCTGGACCTTCAAAACAAAGTCATTAATATTTTTAACACAATATTGCACAATTGTTTCCGACCATCGGGGTATGATTAATAATTTAATCCGATCAAATTAGTCTATTTAAGTAGTGTTATATGAGCTCAGTCCCTCTGAGCCAAATACGCGCCTAACATAATATAGACTTAATTTGATGTCGGATTAACTTCCGATGACTATCGAAGCAGTTATAAATTATTTTGAAATAAAAATGACACAGGAGCTAGAAAGAGATTAAGGGTGGGGGGGGTCTCTCTATCTTGTAAAGTAAAAGGATCACAAGTGCAACTAATGTGTCCCATATTAACTTATACATATTAGTCGGTAATTCTAGCAACCTTAATTAACAATCTATGCAATCTTAGTAGAGAAGAAGAGAGAGAAGAGAGAGAGAGAGAGAGTAGAGAGTAGAGAGAGAGAGAGAGAAGAGAGAGAGAGAGAGAGAGAGAAGAGGAAAGAGAGAGAGAGAGAGAGAGAGAGAGAGAGAGAGAGAGAGAGAAAGAATTTATCCGTTGAAATAAAGATTGAAGCACAACAGCGGGTGTTTAAGAAAACATCTTAGATGTTGAGGAGAGAAGTTAGTTATTTTTTTCATGAATATCAACTGAAGAGCAACAAGTTGCTACGGTGGGAATAGGAAACAGCAATATCCAAGTTGGTAAAGCAAAAGTCTATGGAACACTAAATAACCTGAAAACCTTGAAATTATAATTCACAGCTCATCACATAACGACACTTCTCAGAAATATGAAACTTGTCAATCGTGGAGCTTCCTTGTGTCCGATTTTCTATATTAGTATTTTCTTGGACTGGTTCATTACCACTGTTCAGGGTCACCACTTCACTCTCTAAAAGGGCCCAGTGTCTCAAACACAAAAGCGAAATTTTCATGCACCCATTAGGGTTGAATCCGACTTAGTCCACTGTCAGAAGATGGTATCCAGAAAAGACACGACACTAACCAAATTCGTGTTTCGGTTTGGGTTTTTTTAAAATCAGGTTAGGTTTTTAGGTCACATTAGATTTTTAAGCTTATTGAGGATAAGTTATATTGGTGCCTAATTCTTGGGCAACGACGCTACATCCCACAATGAACAAAGGTGACACGACCTATGAGCTGCTGCACCTCTCGCTGCCATACGGGTTTTAATAAGCTGCTGTCT